AAGGACAAAACACGGTAAAAAAAAAAAAATTTCCTTTCAAAGGGACAGATGGGAAATGAGATCAGGGACTTCCAGGCCTTTGTAAGTGTTGGGCTTGGCTTCCTCTCCAGGTCAGTGGTTTGTAGATCATTATCGTCCTCATGTAAGTAGAAGAGGAAAAGGACCAGAGGAAAACTAAAATCAGGATGTTATTGAAAGGGAAATGGAGTAACCACATTTTCCTCCACGATGCTGAGAACCCTCTAGGATTCTCCTGTATCTAAACATTTCCAAAGGGAAAATTTCAAGGACAGTCCATTATGAGTAATCTTTGGTCTGTATTTCCATCTTTCACAATAATGTCTCTTGCTAAAATGTGGATACTGACAATACACCATGAATATCAGCAGGAAATGTGCCTGCAATATCACTCCTCACTCAGAATTTGCAGTTGTAAGGGTGACAACAGTTTCACATCTATATATGGCACAGAAATCCTGTAACTGCATACTCTTCGTTTAAAAGAAAACTGCAGTATAACTGGGCATGTTGGTGCATGCCTGTAATCCCAGCACTCGGGAGGCTAAGGCAGGAGGATTGTGAGTTCAAGGCCAGGTGGGGCTACATACCAAGACCCTGTCTCCAAAGACAAAAACCAAAAGCAAACAATTCTCTGGTAAAATATACAAACATAAATTTTACCACCTTAACCATTTTTAAGTGTATAGTTCAGTGACATTAACTGCACTCTGATTGTTTTCCAACCACCAACACCACCCATCCATAAAACTCCTCCTACCTCCCAAAGTGAATCAACAATTCCCCATGTCTCCTGCCCCACCTGCTGGCAATCACCATTCTGTTTCTTGTTTCTATGAATTTGGTTCTTCTAAGTACCTCATGCACGTGCAATCTTACAATATTTGTCTTTTTGTGACTGGATTATTACACTCAGCATAATATCCTAAAGACTCACTCACTGTGTTGTAACATGATAGGAGTTCCTTCCTTTTTTAAGGCTGGGAAAGGCCATGCATGTAAACAGCACATTTCGTCTATTCATTCATCCAGGGTTGGACATTTGGGTGGCTTTCACCTTTTGGTTACTGTGACTAAGGCTGCCATGAACATTTTGTACCAGTATCTCTTCAGATCTTTGCTTTCAAGTCTTTCAGGTATATACCCAGAAGTGGAATACAACATATTTCACACTAACACTATCGCTTTATACACCAGATACCAAAGTTTAACTTTTATTAAATGTGAATGGCATCCATAAATTGCTTCCCAATATTCTTTTTTTTTTTTACCATTTATCACCTTTTTCATGATTTATCACCTTACAAAATTGTACCAACATTAATAAGCTACAAAACAAATCAGAATGTAGGAGTTTCAAAGCCAGAGGCAGATTTGGTGTATTGATCATGATGGCTAAGTATGTCATCATCAATAACAGCATCTGGTAAAGTACTTCAAGAGAACCACAACTGGAAATCAGTGGTCAGCTCCCACCTGAGTTCTGTCTCTGACACAGAATTAATTTGTCATCTTCAATGTGACAAGTCAGCTTATATTTCAAGATACAAAATATTCTGATCTAAAAGTTATCCTCTCTGTCTATACTGACTGTCAAAAGTTTTCCTATAATTTTGCTCATGAAAAAGTAAGTTCTCAAACTTATGCCTAATAAATTTTGGCAAGGCGACAAAAGGTTCATTAGCCATCAGAAAGTACACTTCTTTAAGACAGTACTTCACCTCCATGTTTTAATTTAAGCAACTACCTAATATTCACCCAAATCAAATCAATGATCCAGTAAGTATTTGAAAAATCTAGTTACCACCACTTCCACATGTGTCAAATGGTATTCACTTTTATGTCATTAATCAAAACCTCCTAATATCCACAACAATTTTACTAATTTGAAATGCAGTAACATACATCCACCCCTAATATCCAGTGTGCCAGAGATTTTGAGGAGGTGGAGGTGGAGGAGTAGGAGGGTAGGACAGAGACACATAAACCTGATGCCTGAGCCCTCCTCAGGACCACAGCAGAGGGGTGACACTTGAACACAAAAAGTGTAAACAGCAGCTGGTGAAAGACCAAGACAACGCACTTCAGCATTTGTGTACCCGATGTAGACAGTATGTGCTAGAAGAATTAAGAGAATGGATGGAGGGTGGGTCTCTGTAGACTTAAATAAGTCTCTAGGACATGGGATTTCAAATGGCCCATAAGGATGACAAGATACTACTGGCAAAGAGAACCATGAAGCCAAGATAGAGATAGTTAGATCCCAAAGTCCAGGATTTGACTCTGAAGAAGAATACTGTGTAATGTAGTCTGTCCCTGGCAATGGCAGACAATGCTAAGTATAGCTTGAGAACCATTCTTCTGATTGTTTTTCTCTTTTTTGGTGATACTGGGATTTGAATTCAGAGCCTGTGCTTTCCAGGTAGGTTCTCTACCACTTGAGACATGTCCCCCACCCATTTTTGCTTTTGTTATTTTTCTAGCAGGGTCTTGCTTTTACTCCTGGGCCAGCCTGGACCTGGTCCTCCTATTTATACTTCCCGCATAGCTGGGGTGACAGGTGTGCACCACCATGCCCAGCTTTTGTTGGTTAAGAGGGGGTCTCATGGACTTTTTGTGCCACCTGGCCTGGATCCAAAATCCTCCTGATCACCACTTCCCAAGTAACTAGGATTATAGGGGTGAGTCATTGCACCCAGGTGAGTTTTTCAAATACACATCTATTTTATGTCTCTCAAAATGTATTTTTTTTTTTTGGTGGGGGAGGTTGTTTACTTTTTTTTCGTTTCCCTTAAGATGAGTCTCAGTCTGGCCTTGAACTCATGATCCCACTTAAGCAAGTACACTGACCAAGAAATCATTACTCCATACAACTTATTTTCCAGAGAGCTTTCAGATATCCTCAGGGCTCCACATGAATATATGCCTACTTGTGAAAGGTACAAAAGCATCATCAAAATTAGCATTTTAAATACGTGTTTCAGAAATATATGCCAACTTCTATTATTTTAATAGCTAATTGCTATTGCCTAAGAGTATTATTGCACTCAGCATGCACTTTGCTCATGACCTAACCTACTTGTCATCCTTTTTCTGTACGAAATAGGATATATTCCCCTGATCCAATTTGTTCACTCTGCCTCTAGCAATACAATGGAAATGCTGCCTAAGAAGGAATCTGTGTTAACATTTTACTCATATAAATATCGTCACCAAGACAACTTAGCACATGTAACCAGCCTCACCTGATGACAAAGTGGAGTTCATAAGAAAACAAAAAATAGTGCCCAAACTAGGGCGGGTCACAGTTCCTGTGATGGGAACCAAAGCTGAAATCCAAGCTCCTTAATCTTTGAAAAAATTTCCCTCAAACAGAAAATAACACTTGCTCATTCATCCTTAGCCAGCAAAAATGTCAAAGTTCTTTGCCTTTCCTAGAATATCCAGTATCATAGAAGTAGTTACAGGCAAGAGGGACAAAAGAATTTTTCAAAGTTTCAATCATCAGATCCTATAACTATTTAAATATCCAGGCTTTGAGTATTTTTCTTAAGTAATTTTACCTTGGCCCTGCAAATACAACATTGCATCTTTAGTTGCAAAACTAAAAATAAATAAAAAAGGAAAGAAAACAGAAAAAAAGGAAACTTTGTTACTTAATTGATACCAAGAAGAACACACACTTCATGCTCAGAGAAACTTGAGATAACCTTTTGCTTCCTCAGAATACTACAGGAAAAATTCAAGGATTATAATTTCACAAATACTAATAACATAGGAGTGCATAAAACCATACAGAGCGGGTCATGTTCTGGAAATGGGATTAGAAAAAAAGTGAGGGCCCTTCACTATCAATTATTTCAACAGTTTCCTATTTTATTTATTTTTTAAGTATGTAATTTTTTAAAGTTAAGTAAAAAGAATCAATGAAACTTTAAATACCCCCCACACGCACACTCATGCACCCATGCACACATACACACACAAACAACAAGGCAGCTCAAACTTGGATGGTAACAGCATCAGATAGAGAAGTGTCCAGGTCACGGCACAGAGGTAGAGAAGAAGGAAGTGCCACGATTAGATCCCAGGAGAACAAGGGCAGTAACCAGAACTTCCAAGCATATCAAAGTAGCCCAGGGTTGCTGGACACCTATTACCACTGAAATTCCTGGACGAAGACGGTTATTCTGCTCCTCAGTAGCCTCAAAGCTTCCTGTTGGTTGCTTAGCCACAGGCTGTGAGCTGAAGGACTTCAAGCATCAACCCAGATAGTAGTGCATAGCAGAGCAGCACTTGTGTTACTCTAGACAGACAGACTTCATGACATTACTACTGGCCCCTAAGCCTGTCTCTGGAAGCCCAGAGTTCAGGGCTTCTCATGGCAGGCTCTCAAAGTGCCATCCTAAAAGGACGGATGCATGACAAAGCTCTACTGCCCCACAGCAAAGCCCATTCTTCAAACTCCAATACACTGGTCAAAAAATCTGAATCCAGGCTGGGGTGTACAGCTCAGTGGTAGAGCACTTGCCCAGTGTGAACAAAGCCGGGTTCCATTCCTAGCACCACATACACACAAAAAAAGTTAAACCTAAATTCAAAGCAATCTCACAGGATGCAGGGGACACCTGTGCCCACTAATCAACCCAGACATCAGCAGTTTCATTCACACACACCTAGTTACTTTTGCAAATTATTAATATATAAATATTAAAATAGATTATATATAATTACATGTTACCTAATTATAATTACAAATTATATAACATATCAATATATTATAGTGTTTTATTTATGAACCAAATAAAGGAAGTATATGAATTCATAAAGGAAGTATATGATGACATAACTTTTCTCTTAAATGACTTCTTCTATCCATCTTTTAAAAACCATAGAACAACTAACCAAACAATAAATCACTAGCTAGGAGAATTTATAAAGATCAAATGCATGGTTCTGTCAATAGAGACACGGTCACCTACCTGAAAGTCATCATAAGGGAAGAGTAGCATTTCCCTCAAACAATCGTTCAGGATCTGGGTCTTCTTCTGAACGATGACATTTTCATAGTCTAGTGGCTCAATTAGCTTTGGCTTTGCCTGCAAGACCAAAAGAAAAGTCACTGAACTACCCTTATAAATAAATGTACTTTCTTAATATTAAAGAGCTTCATACATTCTATGCCACGTGTTTTCCAGCTTTTCTACAGTAACGTTTCTTTTGTTACTGGAAAGAAACAGAAGAGAAAAAAGTTGTTTTCAAAAGGAAAAGACCCTTCCCACTGTACCTTGTCTACATAGAATGATGTTTGTTCAGTTTTTACAAATGAAAATTCTTAAGCCTCTCCCCAGAGCTGAATCATAAACTCCAAGAAGGGGACCGGTTACTTGTGTTTGAACAAAGTCTCCTTGGATGCTGCAGAACACCCCAGGTCAAATGATGCCCCAGAACTGTGTTAGGATTTTTACAACCAGAGAGGAACAAGGAGGAAACCAGTGTTGGGCTTCTTAACCTCCACAACATTACAGACATGGTGGAGATCTGGGTCTGCTCCCCTAGAATGCATGCATACTGTTTTCTAAAATTGTATGTGCAGTTCTGGAAGAATGGCTGTAGTTCTCTGAAGAATGGCAATGTGGAACTGAGGTTAAAAAGATCTGTACTAATAGGAGAGGCAGGCTTGCAAACATTTAAATAAAGGTAGGGAGAGGAGCCAGGGAAGTTAAAGATGGAGTGAGGGCAGGAGGCTGAACCAATTGCCATTTGTGAGCTGTGACATCTCCTCACTTCACTAAGGAAGGGATGCTTCAAGAGTGTGAAGAAGAATGAGAAGCAACAGGTGGGCAAAGGACTGAGCTCCCTAACCTGACATGGGCTTAGGCCCATGTCTCTAGCCCTGGGCCTGGTAAGCAGACAATGCTGTTTCTGATATGAGCCTGCTTCTGTCATTCCCACTGCTGGGACAACACATTCCTCCCACTTCTACACCTGTTACAATCCTTCAGCCCTCAAACCAGAGGTCTACAAACATTATTGTAGAAGCAGAATCCCTCTGAAAGCAAATCTTACACACATAGTAAACATGGCCAAAAAGTAGAAGCAGCATTGCTCTAACTCCAGGGTCCACAGTACTCCACTGCCTCAACCCAGCAAGCCCTTCACCTGCTCAGTTTGAGCAGTCCTAGGGATGCAGCTCAATGGGCCTTGGTGTGCAGTAACCTGTGAACAGCTCATCTGCTCCACTCTCAATGCCTTGGGGCAGGGCTGGGTCTTGTTATCTCCATGCCCCTCAGCATCCAGCCCAGGACCCCAGGACATCTTTACCATGAGGTTAATACAGCTTAAGGGCCCTTGCTTGGGGACAGCTTTCTCTCCAGGGACGCTGTATAGTTCAATACTGCAGAGCCCCTTGGCTTCCAGGACACACTCACTTGTCCACCCAATTTCATGGAATAGAGTTGCAAGTCAAGAGATTACAGACACATCCTGTTGTACTTAGCCACAGCACTACTTGAGAGCATAAAAGATTAGCTAAGTGCCAATATTTTTTAAAATGTGAAGCTGGGTGCTGTAATCTCACGCCTGCAATCCCAGCTACTCAGGAGGCAGAGATCAAGAGGATCAGAGTTCAAAGCCAGCCTGTGCAAATAGTTCATGAGACCCTATCTCGAAAATACCCATCACAAAAATGGCGAAGTGGCTCAAGGTGAAGGCCCTGGGTTCAAGCCCCAGTACTGCAAAAAAAAAAAAAGTGGGAAGGTCCCATTGCTAGTATCATGTAATTTAACGATAATGCAACTACATTCTCTTTTTAAAAAGCAATTAATAGCTGAGCACAGGCATCTTATGCCTGTAATCCTAACTACTTGAAAGGCTGAGCTCAGAAGAATCACAGTTCAAGGCTAGGCCAAGCAAAAAAGAGCTAGCCAGACCGCCAACCCATGCTGAGCTACTGAGCTGGGTGTAGTATCTATCATGCACCCATCATCCCAGCAATGGCCGGAAACATAAAGTAAGAAGTTGGTGGTCCAGGCTGCCCTGGGCAAAAAGCAAGAACTTATCTCCAAAATAACCAGAGCAAAAAAGGGCTGGAGGTGTGACTCAAGAGGTGGGGTACCTGTCTAGTAAGTACAAAGCCCCAAACCCCTATACCGCCAAAAAAAAAAAGATATTGATATACTTTATAAATTACCTTTTCACATATGCAAAAAAAAGAAAGGTTAACTGCAAATGCCCCAAATCATATAGCTCACGTAAGACACTTAATAGAGGTTTTCCTTATCCTAAAAGTTCCTATGCCATCACCAAATGTTATGAAGGTAGAAGAAACTATTTGCAACTTCAATGGTGCCATATGAATCTTGACTAATCATGCCAAGGGAAAGACTGATCTGTCTTTGCAATGAAGAATGATTCTATGAAATCACGATCAATGATGAAAAATATGAAGCCAAAAAATATAAGGAAGAAGGCATCTTAGAGGTATGACCAGAAGTTCATTGATAAAATGTGTTGCTTTCATGGATTGCTGGTTTTTTGACTTGGGTTAAAATGTGTAAATTCTAAATAAATATTCCTTTCATTACTGTTTTTATTTCCAAACTTTGCATGAGTTTTCTTAGAGAAGGCCTCTAGAACTGTATACACTTTGTCTCTCACAAAACCTAGGTCTGCCCTGATAGGTAGGGCCATATGTGCCACAAGGACTCTGATCACACTGAAGACAGGACAGGACGGTGACTGGGGGCTGACCCACTCAGTCACTAGGGACTGTTGTTGAATCAGCTGAGTTAATGCGCATCAAAGGCAGAACTCAGCAACCTGTGGGCACGGACTTATTATTATGAAATATATTGCTTGCATGACATTTCTTTCTTTGAAAACTGTTGAGTTAATGCTTCACATACATTCAGTTACACTAATCTGTTTACAAAAACTTTCCTCTACTGTTTAGGAACATATGAAATGAAACAGACGACAATGGCAGGGGCATTCACAAAGAAAAAAAAACAAAAGCCCTAACATACAGAAAACCATAATCGAAATGACACTGGTATTCAGGGGCTGAGCCCACAGAAAATATTAATAGATGCTTACATTATAATCTCAACTGAGCACTGATGCAGTTTGTGTCAGGAAGGATTGAGAAGAGAGCAAGAGTTGGGGGTAGGGCCGAGGTGCACAGAGCAGCACTTTGGGCCCACTCCTATTAGGGCAGCCCACAATAGCAGCAGGGTCTAGAATTCAGGAGCAGAGCCCTGCTCCAGGGGATGATGTAGCACTAGGCCACAAGACAGAAGGAGGCAAGCTCTGCTACAGAATGGGGGAGTCCAGGGCCCTCAAAGGGTTCCTCACAAAGAATCAAACCTCAGCTTCCAGGAAAGTGACGGGAGAAATGGCCTGGAGCAAGGGTCCTATGAATGGCAGGGAGACTAAGCTCCTCCTTCTCAAGGACAACATGGGCCTGGGTTAGCCACTGACACCAACCAGGCCATCCCCCAGCTACTCCGTGTGGCAGCTGGCAGTGCAGAAACCTCCAGTGATCACACCTGCCTTCTGCTCTCAAGAATGCCAACAAAAGCAATGGCATCACGCCCTGCCACTAACTGATCTTCTGAACATTCTGAATGCTCCCTCCCACACCCTGTGCTGCTTTGGGTCAGCAAATTCAGGAATTTTATGCAGACTAAAACTCCAGATGGAAAGGCAATCAGAAGCAGAGAATCCTCTCAGCACAGGAAAATGAGATTCCTCTAGAATCCAGCAGACCTGGAGAGTATTTGCCCACAAAAATCAGTTCAATTTTGGTCAGCCGTGTGTAAGACTTTGAAAACCACAGGAAGAAATAAGCTCAAAGGGATAGAGAGCAATCCCACTACACTTACCTCAGCCACAAGAACATCCGGTGAACTTTCTAGACTTTTCTTGCCTCTGTGTCTTGGTTATTGAATGCTAGCACAAGCTGAAATCCTAAACACCACTTCTCGAAATAGCAAACTAAGGAAATGGCAACTCCTGAAACATTCTATTTTAGGAAATGAGAAATTAACCATTCTTGCTTATAAAGAATTTAGGACTTCCTTGATTTTTCTGCATGACAGTAAGAGCTATTTAATGGGCCCGGACAAAAATTCTTCAAGGAACTTGGTTCATTTTCAGAGTGCTTTTCAATTTTGCCAACAGGACATCAGTACTGCCACAGAGATGGGATATCACAGATCATAATATGAAGGAGCAGGCTTTTGAAGCCAGGTGCTAACAAGCGTGGGCCTCACAAGCCTTCCTACACTGTCCTCTTATATGACTTTCTCTATAAGCTCCCACTAAGAACTTCTGGGAATTGTTGGATTTGGAGGAAGAATCTTTGTTTCCTATAATTAGGGTGGCCACAGGAAATCAACAGCTGCCCCTCTTCCTCCTACACAAATGGTACTAGCAGTTATGTGCTCCTTTTCTTCACAGGAGTCTGTCCGTATGCACTGTGTCAGGTCTTTGGGACACAGATAAAAAAGATGCAGCCTCCGCCACAAAGACCTCACAGTCAGAGGACATAGATGTGAAAAAGAACAGAACAAGTGACAGCAGTAGGGACTCTGACTCACTAGAACAAACCTGACCTCTCCCCAGCTAGATTATAAATTCCATGAGGGCAAACACTTGTGTTTGATATGCTGCTTTCTCCAGCACCTAGAACTATATCTGGCAATAGTGTGCTCCTCAGTCACTAACTGTGCAGGCTGAGTGAGGAGCCCAACAAGGTGAGTGCTTCCTAAAGGAGGCTTCTGGAGGTGGACAAGTGAGTCAGGTTCAGGATGGACTGAGGATTCTCTGCAGAGGAAAAGGAGATTCCAGACAGCACGCACATGGATGCAGCTAGATTTTGTGGGGCCTGAACTCATAAAATCAGAGTGGAGAGAGGTTAAAAATACAAAATAATGGACATAAAGCTGCTGGATGGGATCCAGACACTTCAGCTCCATCAGTTACCCTTGAGCATGGAGTTAGGAAAGCAGCAAGTCATTTAGAACAGCTAGGCCAGAGCTGCAAATGGGGGCAGAGGTCTCAACAGGCCAGGATATGGGGCTCCAGTCTCTGTGGG